GACCCGACTTTATCAAGGGCATAGACTACCTTATTACTTTTTAGTGAGGCAACGGTATCTACGTGTGCAGTTTATGCGTTAGGAAATGTGTGTATTTTCTCGTTTTCTGAATCATTGATTGACATGAGAGTGGATAGTTTACTGTATAATATGAGCAAATGGTAACGTATGTGACTTACTGTACGAGAATGTGTTGGATAATGGAACTGACATTTGCTGTATACTAACATTATTATCTTCAACTGTGCGTATTCAAACTGAAATCCAAATAATTCTAACAGGTTAACATTAAAAGAACGGCTAGCGAATGACAATAGGGTTCCTCTAACAGGAACTGATAACATATTAATCAAAAGTACTATACAGGTACACCTAAGCCCCTAGACTAAGGTCCTTCTGAACTCTAGATAGACTAGAAAACACGCTAAATCACGCCAATAAAACGAATAAAAATAATCCTCGCACTCACTAAAGAATTTCTCGAGTAAAAGTTTGGAAGTTTCTTTAAACTCATGTAAAGTCAACGAAATTGTTCAGGTTTGGAGACAGCCTTATACGGGGGACTTTTTAATTGTTTCGCGTTTACTCCTTAAGGGCAATAAGTCTGGAATAAATACTAATGAGTCGTTGTTTTTAACAAGAAATTAAGAAACATCTTCGTGTGTTTGAGGTTTTAATCTAATATTGAAGGGGGCTTAGAATTGCCTTTTTGCGTTGATGGCGCCATCTTTTGAATGCGAATTACGAGATTTTAATGCTGTTGTTGGCTATAGCTGTTATACTAACATATAGTTTATACTCAACATCAATTTACTTTCAACGTCGATTGTACACTAGTCAGTACCTACCCACAAAGTTAATAATAACTCCAAAATGCAGGTTCGAAGATAGATGTGTATGAACTAAAGGAATATCTAATAGAAGTTTTAAGTACAACAGTACCATGTTGCTAATGACTTAGATATCGACGGTATCTTGTACCGTCTAGTCAATAACCACTCTCAAAGAAATTTAAGTGTATATGCAAAACGCCGAGTGACATTTGATAGAAGTACTTTTATGTCGCTACTTATTTGAATTAAGTGTTAGATAATAATTATCGGGAACATAGTGATATACTTCAAAAAGAGAGTTCATGGCAGTCTTCTATAGGAGTATATGCCTTCACTACACAAGATGGCCATAATCTTTACGTTTGACAGTCGGGTTTAGCCATTCACAAGTCGTATAAATTAAACTACTTATTCTATCAATTTTAAGGATCTGAAGAATTTTTTATTTTTAAATGTTATATTCTGATATAGATACTGTGTCTAATAAGTAGGTCTGTCTGTTTTTAAGTAAATGTCAAAAATCACACAAGCACACATCGAAATCAAAGTTTTATATGAAAATTTCTTACTGCATCTCGTAGTCCGATCCTTCAGAAACATCTAAGTCATCTAACCATCACTTATGAAACACCAGAACATTGCTTACAAATAAATAATAAAAACAAATCTATCTATTAAACGAAGGTAATTTTCTTCACTCGATTAGACCTAATATAACCCTGAAATAGCTGGATAAACGCAGTGTAATGATGATTATGTCCAATTAATAGAACCTTGGGGACCTTGGTATTGGTGACGATGATGGGTTAATGCGCAGCGTGCAACGTGACACGCAACTTTATTGTTGTAACACCTTCAATGATTCAGTTGATTGGGCTGTATTGGCCAATTTGTTGTGGAGTACAAAAAGCTGGTGATAATGATACGGAGTGTACCTATTTACTTGAATGTAAGTTTTGTGTGCCCCGAATAGGGTAGTATGCTAAATTTTATTTTAATGCCCGTCTGGTAGATTATTTTAAAACATTAATCACGTATCTTTTATTACAAACTTAAACACTCTCGACGATATATTGATTTAAAATATCGTGTGACGATTTACTACTTACATTTTATAGGACAGCATGACGTAACGACTCCTAAATTGAACTCCGATCTATTTAAACTGTCAAACACCAAGCGGTCACCGGTGACCGCAACCTATTGTTCTTTAATTGTGTCTACAAAACCGGTACTCGACGAGTTAAATATTGTTTTCTTATACGATAAAATAAAAAAAAAAACGTGTCTAATATTTTTTCATTATCTAACTGATGGATTTATTTCAATTTTAATTTTTATTCACTGTCTTACCACCTTATTCTAAAAAAATAAGCTATTACTGAGAGCATGTGCATCAAAAAATCTAGTGACACTTCGTTTAACTCATAATAGTATTACATATCTTCTTCAAAAATCGCTTGACCAATGTCACTGTGGATAATGTGAATAAAAATACTTTTAAGATTAATTTCCGCTAGAAGCCTAAATAAAAATTAGGAATGCATAACAAAAATTTACAACTAGTTCAATTGAACTAAATTTTTCAGTTTGAGGCGATAAGTGAATGATGAATCAGATATCTAGAAACCTAAAGATGTTAAAAAGTACTGATCAAGAGATATTCTAACATACAACTTAGTAAAGATATCAGCAAACCGATGCTAAGTTGTTCTTGACATTTCTAGAACATCCACCACACATACTTGATCGTGACAATTCTCCACACTCTTAATGAACTACTAAAGTACGTACAGACATATGTCGGATGAGAATCAAGTGAAATCAGAGGAACAATGCTGGTTGGTTCCCACACAGTGGCGCCTCTACGGCCGTTCCAAGAAACTTCGGTGTCGAGTTATCGGCGCCCGCGCTTTCCTTTAAATTTGGAATTACTCATTATTTGTGTCGCGTTACCGTCGTGTTGACAAATATTGTTTTTATCGAAGTTGCCAGTGTGTTGTGCGTTTTGTTCCGTCTTCTTGTGTGCATTGGGTTTTTTATTATTTTTTAATTGGGTATGTACATTCTATCCTTTAGAAAAAAGTTTCGAACCAAATATTATGTTATAAGAACATCAATCGCATCGTCGAAGGTTTTCATATAACAGTATCCTAATTAATAAACGTAAGTTCCTTCAAACTAATACCAACATCCATGTTCCATGTTAACAATATTAATGTATTTATCATTTACATCTCGTGTAACTTGCATGTTAACAAAATTGATGCCTTGAGGTATCACTCGGATTTTTCTCTTTAAAGTTCATGAAAGTATATTTCTAAACGTTTGTAGGATATTTTTTTTATTTTTTTTATTGCATTTATTTATTATATAATTATATATACAATTAATATTAACTATATCTAAATGAAAATATATACAACTTAAAATATAAATAACTATGAACTAAAATATTTACACCTTAAAAAAAGTAATAATAAATAAATACGCTATAATAAGGCATCAAAAAAAAAAATTTTCCTCATCATTATCGTGAGGTAGGGTGCCCAAAAGACTGGCAGCATTACCACGTTGAATGGCAATGCTTAACCTTTGTCCAAGGTAGAAGCCAGCCCTTCGATCACCTGAAGTGTCAACCATCCTCTTTATAATATCTTTTTTTTTAATTATAAAAATATCTTTTTTTTTAATTATAATACTACTAATATTTAATCTTTCTATTCCCAGAAGTAGATAAGTACTCCTCATTCATTCATTCTTGAACAGTTTCTAGTACAACAACTTACTTAATTGTAATCAATAGTTATACAAATCGATTAAATTCACGCAGTTCTATGATTAGGAGCTCTAAACCTTGCTTGATAGTCGATAATAGAATTAATTTGCAGCTAATAAGACACGCAATTACATTGATAGTAATAACATCATCCAGTTGCTACAAATTGGTCACTTCAATGAAGAGCTTTTAATTCTATAAGTGGTCCTTATTTATTCTGTCATCACTGTCATTCTACCAATAGGTATTTAAATGATATACCTTCGCCGAATGAGATTTAGCAAGCCTTTGGTCAGCAGAGGCCACTTAGGCTGTTGATGATAATGAAATGATATACCCTTTTACTTCGAAATTTCTATCATCTTCATCAACATTAGATAGTAATCTGCTACTAGACTATGTCACTATGAGCCTCGTCTACAAAACAAAAGGGTTTGCCATAATCTCCATATTATGTAGCAAAAGTATTGGAGATCAACTTGAGTTCTAAGCTTTATTATGAGTTTTAAACATGTATCGAACCTACATAGTAAAAAAATGTTGGCAATCCTAACATATCACAACAACAAACTAGACATGTCCCTCAACCCATAGAGTTAGCAACAGGTAACCACTAGACGAGACGATTCAGATTACGGGTGTCGATTGATTAGCGTGATCGCTATCACTTGCCGGGTCCTCTTACAGAGTTTCCTGCAACAGCGATATGCAAACGGTACGCGATATCGAAGCAAATGACACCTCTATAACGGACGGATTTTTCAAATTCCATAGTATAGTTTGACACTTTACCTGAAACCTAACTGCGATGTGGGGGGTAGCCATTTTGTTGGCTATAGACACCTATAACTTTATCCTGATTATAATATGAGGGAGGTGTATCTTATGATAGACTACCCAGGGATTACAACGTAAATATATTTTAAATTAATCATTCAAACATTACAAAATAAGGTTTACAATGAAAATCACCAAAATATTTTCTGGATCTGGCATTATGTCTAGTTGCTCTTAAACTGTCAAACACCAAGCGGTCACCGGTGACCGCAACCTATTGTTCTATAATTGTGTCTACAAAACCGGTACTCGACGAGTTAATACTTACATTAAGATCATAAAGTGTAATTTTATAAAATATAATAACTTTATTAAAAATAAACGATATTAATATATTTCATAGAAGGTTACTTAAACTGTCAAACACCAAGCGGTCACCGGTGACCGCAACCTATTGTTCTATAATTGTGTCTACAAAACCGGTACTCGACGAGTTAATACTTACCCATGCAGTATTTTTACTCAGGAGTGTAATCAATCTCTTTCCATAAATAGAATTTAGGTCGTCATTGATAACTTTGGCTTTTATTCATTGGAACTTTTTTTTCCAGTATGATGGACTCCGGAGGAGCAGGCATAGCGGAATCACCTCCCACCTACCATCGTACCTACGAACAATATGTCCAAGGAGCCGTTGAGAACAGCACTGACTCAGTCCAAGAACAAACCAGTCCCGAACTAGTGGTATGGTCAACCCTACCTTATGGAATAGACTATAGAGCTCAATATGACTATAGAAGCCCCTACGATACCGGCAGAGACTACTCCACTCAGCAATATGCTAGAGCTCCCTTCACGACAAAAATGGGACAGGCCAAAGCATTGAAAGAGGCCAGAATAAGAAGGCCGATGAACGCGTTCATGGTGTGGGCGAAGGTAGAAAGGAAGAAGCTGGCTGATGAGAATCCCGATCTTCATAATGCTGATTTGAGTAAAATGCTAGGTAAGTGGCCATTTTGTTTTTTATTTTGAAATTGGATTGAGTTCTCACTTACAATCGAAGTCAAAAAAAATAATTAAAAAAAAGAAATAAATTACCTATGTTACGGTTCATGAATTACCTACTCGAAAATACGGGAATTTATTTTTTTATAAAATTTACGGCATATTGGATATTCGTAGCCCTGTGTCATTGATTTTTAAAGTACTTTTGACGTTTATTATTTGTTTGACATTATAGCTGTCAATATTAATCTTTTTGATTGATGATGGAATCGAGCAACGGCCCTGCAATTTGTAAATTCTGCAAGTACAAGTAAATCGTTTGAAAAATTATTAAATGCTCATTTTGTGACCTGTTTATGACATTCTGAATATTTGAATATGATTCTAGTATGATTTTACTAAGCTGTTATCAAAATTATAGGGCTATAACTTAGATCTTGGTTAAATAAGTTTCAATAAAGATTTTATAGAATTTTATATGTGACATACGTTAACCCTAATTTTAACTGGTAACACACTTTATTTTTTTACACAGACCACTTTAAAACATGGCAACTAAAATGAGTCAGCGTAAACTGCCCAATCTTCTACACCGTTCGAAATTTAAATACATATTATTATTAGAGGCCAGCATTATTCCGTCGTACCTAATAAATTATTAATTAGACACTTTGACGTCATGACTCTGTCAAACCCATTGCTGACTTTGACGTTTTTATGAATTTTAATTAAATATGAAAAAATACTATATGTTAATCTTAATAAGTAATTTCATAATTGTTATGATTACTATAGAACTTGGAATCTTTACATGAGCTAATCTAATATATTGAATTATATTCTATATAGGCATGCTGTTTAAGGTTAGATTCCGTAACAATAAAGACTATGTAGCTCTAAAGTTTTCGTCAAACATTTAGATAATTTCCAACTAAATAAATAATTCTAATATAATCTACAATAAATGCAATAAAAAACAAATCAAATTCCACAGAGTATAAAACAGTTTTCTTGTTTATGGAATACCAAAGAGGTTGTAGTTATAGTCGAGTCTTGAGTAATTCCTCTATAATAACTTCATTAGTAAGTTACTACAGACCAGTCACTTAGCCATATTAATATAATGTCTTTGCCAACACATAGTAAGAATTTAATTAATATACACAAAGATTAATTTGTAAAACAAATAAAAAGCGGTTCGACGTGAACTGAATTGCTATACGAAAGGTTCTGTAGATAAAACTAACTGGTGTCATACGTCCGTCGTCAATTTTATTGTGTGTGTGTATTTGTACTAAGTTTATAATATACTAGCGACCCGCCCCGGCTTCGCACGGGTGCAATATGCATGTATTATACATACAAACCTTCCTTAAGAATCACTCTATCTATTAAAAAAAATCGCATCAAAATCCGTTGCGTATTTTTAGAGATCTAAGCATACACAGGGACAGACAGACGGCGGATAGCGACTTTGTTTTATACTATGTAGCGATGGGTTTGAGTTTGTGTTAACTTTGTTACTGAATCACGTCGACTGCCTAGTTGGCCGAGTGGTCGCAAGTGCGATTGCCGGGTAAGGGGTCTCGGGTTCGATTCCCGGGTCGGGCAAAGTATTACTGAGTTTTTAAAAATCTCAGTAGTATCACGGAGTCTGGACATGTGCCCGGTATATGGCAATAGGATCACCCCCTATTATATGGGATGGGACTCATAACACAAATAGTGAAAAGTGGGTGTTACATTGTATAGTGGCATTAAGTGCTGTAATGTGCGCCTCTGCCTACTCCTTCGGGAATAAAAGGCGTGATATTATGTTTATAATATAAATGTAGAATGTGTACCTAGTACCTACGTAAGAACGGCTAGGCTGTATAGATCTGGACAAAAATTGCCATTAGTGTAAAAAAAATCTGGCTTAAAGGTCAATACCACTCGATAATTAGTATACTGATTATCAAGGATCCAGTGGATGCAGGTGGCATGGACCCATCAGTGGACGGCTTCCAGTTATTGTTGATGATGATGAGGAATATACCTCCGCTAGTAATTAATACAACATAACATTACGCCTCTTATCCCTGAAAGAGTAGGTAGAGGTGCTCATTACGTTACTTAATGCCACTGTACAATGTAACACCCACTGTTCACTATTTATAAGTACTATGAGTGCCGTGTCATAGGGGGTGAGCCTATCGCCATACACCGGGCACATTTTCAGATTCCGTGTTACTATTGAGATTCTTTAAAAAACCCAGTACCTAATACTTTGCCCGCCTCGGCAATCGAACCCGAGATCCTTAGGTCGCACTCGTGACCACTCGGCTAATAAGGCAGAATATAAATATAATAAAATACATTAAGTAAATTTAGTTACAATTATTTTATTACACTTAAAACATCTGCCAATATAAATACGGAAAACAAAAATCAATACCTTCTTCAAACTACGAGAGGAACTCTGAAAACGAGTTTAACATAAATGTTGGTAGCAAAAAAAATGTCGCTCACAACTTACAATATTGTTCCTTATTAGCAATGCAGTAACATTCCTACTTGTAAAGGAGATACTTCTTAACTTAAACAACTTAATTAAGCTATAACGATGATTACTTAGCGCTAACTAAGTATAATCAACGGAGGCAAGCGAAATGAAACCTTATTACGATGGGATAGATGTGGTTTTTGCTTTTACGTGTGCTCTGTGTATTATCAAGAGATGTCTTGTGAAAATGACTGCCTCGTTGGCCGAGTGGTCGCAAGCGCGACTGCCGGACAAGGGGTCTCGGGTTCGATTCCTGGGTCGGGCAAAGTATTACTGGGTTTTTAAAAATTCTTAGTAGTAACACGGAGTCTGGAATTGTGCCCGGTATAATATGGCAATAGGCTCACCCCATATTACATGGGACTCATATCATAAATAGTGAAAAGTGGGTGTTACATTATACAGTGGCATAATGTATACATCTGCCTACCCCTTCGGGAATAAAAGGCGTGATGTTATGTATGACTAAAGTGCTTCAATGTTTATTGAAATTTCGTACCTATTGCTTATCAAAATGTATGGAATTAATACTTATGACGACATCGATGGTAAAAAATATAGAATAATTTCTATATTTCTATATTTCTAAGCGGTCACCGGCGACCGCTCTCCACTAACTACATTATAGACCTTATTCCCGATGTTTAGAGACTACTTTGTACAAATTTAGGGGATTTGTACAGGTTAAATACGAATCGCATAATTACCATTTATCATCGTCAACATAAAAATTCCTTTCATTCTTCTACGAACTGCTAAGCTATTCTGCAACTGTCAATTCGAACTTTCGATCCCATTCTCGCCCGTCTAATGATAATGGCGGACTGCGATCGAGTTCACTTCGACATTTTGAATTTAATGTTACTGAAAGTCAAAGTCAAAGCAGTTGTTTCAAAAGTACCAATATATGGTTTAATTGACATTTAACCATAATTTGGTACTTTTGAAACTTCAACACATACAAAATCAATAATAGTTAGTTAGTCAGTCCGTCAGTGAAGCTAGGTGAAGCTAAGTGCTCATTCCAAAATGTAGATTCGAATGGAGAATAACGAGCAAGAAACTCTATTCGTTACTCGTTTAAAAAAGTATGTTCTATACTTCTATAATGTCTCTGATACACATTCCAATACTGTTCGTATATGTGAGAATCACCTAATATAACAGAATAGCCTAGTTCAGCAGACCGACTTTTATCAAGTTACCTTGTAACAGGGGGCGACTGTAACATAGGTAACATGACAGCCAGCTACTAAATGTAACATTAAACATTGTCAATGTTACATTTGACTTATAATAATTATGGCGACCTCGTAACTTTCTCTGTTAGATAAAACACGGGAGGCGAAGACGTGAACTCTGGTCGCCACGACGCATGCGCACACCGTAGTCGGTACAGTCAGTGATAAAAGTGGTTAGTGTTGTTTAATTAGTGGGTGTTGTTTTATTAGGCACTCAACAAGTTGACCGAGTGGTCGCAAGTGTGACTGCAAGGGGTTTCGGGTTCGATTCCCGAGTCGGGCAATGTATTACTGGTTTTTCTTTAATTTTCAGTAGTAGCATTTAGTCTGGAATTGTACCCGATAAATGGCAATAGGCTTACCCCTTCAGGGTACCCTGCCTACCCCTTCGGGAGTGGAAAATAAATGTATGATAAAAAAGGCGTGATGTTATGTTATGTTGTTTTGTTCTTATATTACTGCTACATTTGGCATTAGTATATTACTTACTACAAAACTGTTCTAAATTTTATTATAATGGCATAAGTAGTAAACTCTAAAATGTTAATAACCTGCGTAGTTCTATTTGTTTCTACGCCACTAACCAATAATATAAAACGCATTTTTTACAATAGCAATTTCTAGATTACTCTAAAAACCCATTTGATAATTAATTCTGCAGACTTTAAAAAAACATTGCATATACACTAATATTTATTATAAACTTAGATATTTCTTTCCATTGCAAATGAATTTAACATTTACATAGAATTAACATTGCATACTACTACAAAACATTTGCCTCGGAGCTCCTAACAGGAAAATACTATGAATTATATCCTTATTAGTATGTACTCTACCCTTATCACAAGATAGACACAAACTGATAATTCTTAAACTTTATTTACCTACCATGTGATTGTGTATAAATAAACAAAAAGAACAAAGTATTTATTTACTTATTGACCTCCTTTTTTAACTAAAAAAATAATATTTTTATAAAAAACCTCCGTCACTCAAAGATTTATAAATAAGATTTATAAATAAGATTTATAAACAAGATTTATAAACAAAATAGGTGCGAGAATAGGGTACTTGACAGATAGTCAAATTCAATTCTTTTATTGAAATGTCTAAAACGATACTTTACATTGAATTTTGTATTTTTTTTCTAAGGGGGGAAAATCATCGAATGACTGCTCCCGCCTGGGTGAGGCGGGAGGGAGTGTCAGA